TTAATCCCGGATCTGTGATTTTTCAAGCTGTGTGGCCTCAGGCAAGTCATCGAACCTCTCTGAACCTCAGTGTGGACCTCTGTAAAACGGGGTTACAGATAGGACCTACCTCACAGGCTGAGGATGAAATGAAGAAACACAGAACAACGAATCCAGCACAGAGTAAACTCACGGTTGGCACCTGGGAGGGAGCAGCCGCTGTTACTTCTCCTGCCATTGTGCAGGTTACCGGTACCCCGATCGTTCGCAGTCCAGGGGCACTTGACCGTGCCTGTGTTAGATGAGGACTCAGAGGCTCAGAGAGGCTACAAGGCCAGGCCCGGACTGAGCATCGTCTTGAGTTCTGTCCCTTGTTGAGCCTTCTAGGGCATGAAAGACCCACAGGACCCTGCCTCGTGCGGCTCCCGCCTGAGTGGGAGGAACAGGTGAGCGAACAGTGGCCACTCAGTGGCATGAGCAGACACGCGGACACCCATTTCACGGACGGAGAGATGGAGGCCCGGAGCGGAGGAGAACAACCCAGGGTTACCTTTTGGCCAGCCAGGCTGACCTCTGTGCCCAGAGCTCAGGGCAAAGAACCGGGAAGACGAAGGACAAGCAAACAGGGAGCCCAGAGGCATGGCTAGATCAACCCTGAGCTCAGAAAGTGCTTGGGGCCTGGGGGAGCTGAGCCCCAGAGAGAGGCAGTGGAAGGGGCTGATGGATCAGAGGCAGGAAGCATGTGTGAGGAGGAGTGAGGAGTGACGAGGTCAGTCTGTCTGGACCGTGAAACATTTAGGTCAATGGCCAGCAAATGACAAGATTGGGGAAACTTCTTTTGTCCTCGGGCGCCAGGGGGTCACTGAAGGTGTCCAAACACAGTAGCAGCCACTGAAGGAAAGGAGGAGCTGAGGGGGGTGGCCCCCGGAGCTGTGGCCTCTTCCAGTGTCTCTGGGCATGTCCAAGCCCTCCACGCTCACACATGCTCCTTCACCTGAGCAGACCCACGGGCGTGCCCAGGCTCGGGAACCCACCGCCCGCGTGCTTGTTCTTTTGCTTGCGCTGCGGCACAATTGCCACGCGGTAAAATGCACCAGTCGGACGAGAAGAGCCGAGTGAGCTTCAGTAAAGGACGATCCCATGTGACCACCACCCAGACCAAGATGGAGCATGATGTCCCCATCACCCCAGAAGCCTCCTTCCAGCCCCTCCTACGTCGTCCCCCAAAAGGGTAACCACTGAGCTGATTTCTACCACTCTGGATTGGCTTTGCCTGTTCTTGGACTTTTTAGCATTGAAGCCACATAGTATACACGTAGCCCTTTGTGTCTGGCCTCTTTAACTCAGCATGTGTTTGAGATTCGTCCACGTTGGTGCAGGTACCAACTGTTCGCTCCTTTTTATTCCGAGTAGCATCCCGTTGTTCATTTATCCAGTCACCAGATGATGGATCTTTGGAGTGTTTCCCACTTTCTGGCTATTATGAATAAAGCTGCCATAAGCATTGCATACAGGTCTTTGTATGGACGCACATCTTCGTTCTTTCACAGAAATACCTAGGAAAGGGATTTCGAAGTGGCCCGGATGTGCAACTTGGTGCAAATATGCAGTATCCTGAATACACGTCTAACTTCATAAGAAAGCGCCACGCTGCTTTCCAAAGTGGCGGTGCCCTGTTGCATTCCCAGCAGCAACATGTGAGTGTTCTAGCTTCTCCGCATCCTCATCGGCACGTGGCACTGTGGGTCTTGAATGGTAGTCCTTCTGGTGGCGTGGGGTGACATCTCACAGTGGCTGTCATTTGCATTCCCCTGATGGCTAATGATATGGAGGGTCTTTTCCGGCAGCCTTCTTGACACTTGGCCTGGAGATTGACCAGACCCTGGGGACTCTCCAGGGCCAAAGCCCATCCCACCACCCAACCTGCTCCTTCCACTGATGACACCCACGTAGGAAACTTGAGGTTTCCATTTCCTTCCCTCTCTTCATCACCCTGCCCATGCATTTTTCCCCCCCTTGGCCTGGCTCTTTTTTTTTTTTTTTTAAGATTTTATTTATTTATTTGACAGAGAGAGACAGCGAGAGAGGGGGAGGGAGACAAGCAGGGGGAGAGGGAGAGGGAGAAGCAGGCTTCCCGCCGAGCAGGGAGCCCGACGCGGGGCTTGATCCCAGGACCCCGGGATCGTGACCTGAGCCGAAGGCAGACGCCCAACGACTGAGCCACCCAGGCGCCCCGATCACCCTGCCCATGCATTACCAACTCCTACCCTTCCTGCTTCCCAGTTACCTCTCGATTCCTCACCTCATGAACCCACCACGCTGGCTTAGGCCCCCTTATCCTCAAACAGCCACGCCCGCCCCCCTGCAGCCACTCTGGCTCCTTCCCGCTGCCCTAGCCTCTTCCATTCTCCCAACGCCCCCACCCCGTTCTCTGCACTGTCCTCAGTGCCTGGAACATTCTCCTCTCTACACCCACCCTCAGTAACTCTGCACCTGTCCAGCCTCAAACATTGTCCTAATTCCTTCCCTGCCTCCCCCCCAAGGTCCGGCCACATCGCACATGCTCAGAGCCCCAGCACCCCTCCTTTGGGGCTCCGGGCCCAGCCACGAGCTTCTATTTTTCTGGGTGATCATTTGATGAATCTCTCACTCTCCCTCCAGGCCAGGAGCCCCACGTGGCATCCCCGGGACCTAGCATGGTGCCTGGCACAGGGGGGGACTCACCATGACATTTGAGGTATATGGCCTGAGTGGCAGATGGGGCGGGATATAGAGGGCAAGCTTGAGGAGCCTCTGCCCAGATCAGCTGTCGGATGAACCATTGCAGGGCTGGCAACCCCAGGCCGGAAGACACAAGAGACCTAGAGTAAACTTAGTATGCGTCCCCTCCATTTCCTGATTTCCTGTCTACCCTCCTTCCTTCGCTGCCGCCAGAGCTGAAGTCAGCAGAACCTGCTTTCTTAGCAATGCAACCTGCTGGCGCAAGTGAATTAGCCTCCTGAACCTCAGTTGCCCCAGCAGTAAAATGGGATAATAATTATACTCACGTCCCAGGTGGCTATGAAGCCTGAGCAGACCCTGCAGCCGAAGTGTTCGGCATGGGGCTAGGCGTGCGCTAAATGCCCAGCCAGGACCTCAAGAACAACACGACACGGTGGTAGGAACAGGGTTTTCTGAGTCAGGCCTGGGTTCCTGTCCCGGATCCTATGTGTGACCTGAAACAGGTGACTTGGCCTCAGTTTCTCCTGTAAAATGAGGAGAATATGAATCCTCCTTCCCAGGCTGTTTGAGGGGACTCGTGGGAGATGTTGCAGATGTTCGTGCTCAGAATATATATGCCGAATGGATGAATGGGTGATTCAGGCGGTGATGTTCAAGGTCAAGGAGAGGTCGGGGCAAGAGGAGAGCACAGGGGTGTGGAGTCAACCTATAGCCATCCCCGAGTTCCCACGGTTAGATTTTCAGAATTCTGTAAGCCAGTTCTTTCATAAGTTAACTTATAAAAAAATCTCCAATACGCAACACTCATCACTTCCTAATTATTTTACTACATTCTGCTTTTATCTATGTTCTTGAGAAGATTTATATTTGTTGTATCATTTATTTTATACATAGTTGGTGGCTCAGAATCAGCCCTGGGAGTATTTACACCAAGGACATTGGCAAGCACCACAGATCACCGCTTGGGTACAAATGCACTCAAAGAGCCCGTTGATCTGGATCTGCAGCCGGTCCCTGGCTCAGCAATCCCTGCTCCTCAAACACTGGGAAGCGCCGGCCTCTCAATGGCTCCAAGGGCTGGTGGCGGGCGCCCCCTGGTGGCTGCGTCAAGCACCTGTCATCCCTGACGCCCACTTAGGTCCAGGCCTTGGAGAAAGCCGCCAAAGGGGGAGCCTTCTGGGGTCGCAGTGTCCTCCAGCGGAGGGGGAGAACCCGGGGACCTGCTCCCTGCCCAGAAGGATGGGGTGACAAGGCCCCACGGAGACTGCTCAGATGTCCCCCAGGTCCTTCGGCCTCTGGGTCCCCAGCTCCATGATGTCAAGTCCCCCGTGTGATCTTTCTCATCACTTCCAAAGGGCGAGGAAACGCACGTTTCTCCTAATGCACGATCCTGCCTTTTCCAGGGTCAGCTGCCCCAGCCCAGGGTGGACACCCCTCTCCCACCAAAGCGCCCTGAACGCCTTCCTTGTGTGTCACGCTGGTTCTAGAGAGTCAGGGGGCCGGGGGCCGACATTCTTCCACTTCTCGCTGACGCTGCCCGCATGGCCTGCCACGTTCCCTCCTGCCCGTCCCCTGTCTCCCCCACCTCTCCCGCTGCAGCCAATACCTACCGGGACTCAACCCTGTCTTTGAACTTTGTCTGCAGGCCACACCCTGAAGTGAAGGGATCCGTGGCTCCCAAAGAGGCCGCGGGAGGTATTTTTCTTTCTTTCTTTCTTTTTTTTTTAAAGATTTTTATTTATTTATTTGAGAGGGAGAGAATGAGAGAGAGAGAGCACGAGAGGGAAGAGGGTCAGAGGGAGAAGCAGACTCCCCGCCGAGCAGGGAGCCCGATGCGGGACTCGATCCCGGCACTCCAGGATCATGACCTGAGCCGAAGGCAGTCGCTTAACCAACTGAGCCACCCAGGCGCCCCGGGAGGTATTTTTCTAGAAGAGAAAAAGCCCACCAAGATGAGGCGTATTCCTCTCCCAAAAGGTAGAACAGAGCGCTTGTAGCAGCAGCTCCTTCTCCCGGTACCCAAGGGACAGAAAAGCTTCAGGAGGCAGAAGATCCCAGGTCTGAATCCGGGCTCAGCCACTGTCGAAGCTTTGGCGTGGGATCAGCGTGGGTCCGAACGTGGTAATGCAGGGACATGGTGAGCGTTGCTTGAATAGGGCAGCCAACCGTCCCGATTTGCTGGGCCTGCGGAGTTGCCCCCAAATGGGGCTCCTAGTGCTAAACTCACAAAGTCCCACACAAACCGGGCCATCTGCTCGCCCAGTGCTTAAATCAGGGGTCAGCAAACACAGAGCCTGCCGTCTGTTTGTAGATAAAGTTTTATTAGAACCCAGCCAACCCCATTCATTTGTGACATGTTGTCCATCACCACATCCCATCTGCGAGGACCGAGGATGAGGTTGAGAAGTTGCAGCTGAGACCACGTGGTCTGCAAGACGTAAAATATTTTTGGTCCGGCCATTTAAGAGAAAGTTTGCTGGCCCCAAACTTTGTACAAAAACCTTATAGCTTGCAGCTGTGCTCAGCCCTGTGAGGAGGGCGTGTTTGATGGGAGACAGGCCCCCTGTAGAAGGCAGAGGTCAAGGTGGGCTCCCGGGGAGGATGGCCCTGACGTTGAGAGGGCATATTTGTCTGAGATTTGGTGGGCGGGGGGCACCAAATTCTGTAGGTTAGAACTGGGTCATGGGGGATGTTGAATAAAGTGGATTCGGGGACCAGCCTCCCTCTCCCCCCAAAAGTTTAAAACCTTCCCCAGCTGCCCAAAGATGTACCAAGATGCTCCCAGTGTCCAAGAGACAACACTGAAGTCAACTTTAGGCCTGTACAGGGTGCTTCCTGGAGGGGGCTGGGGCTGGGGGTGAACAGCAAAGGACCAACTCTCCACCAGAAGGAGGCACCCTCCTGATACCCTGAAACATTCAGCCATCATTTGTTTATCAAATATTTATTAAAGGCCTGTGCTGTACCAGGCCCTGGGCTGGGGGGTGGGATACTTCAGTGAAGAAGACAGAGCCCTCCCTAAAATGTAGGCATAGGGGCAGACGAGAGAGGGCAGAATAGGGGTTACTCTGTCCCCAGGAAGAAGCTCGTTGGTCCACACAGCCCCAAAGAAGGGTATAGCCCTGGGCTCTCTAAGTATACCCCAGACCTCACAGTCCAGGATCTCACCCTGGGCTCCCTGGGGAAACGCCCAAGAAAACCCAAGCCGCCCCCAAGTGGGGGGTGACCAGGAATGGCCTCAGGAACCTGGCAGTCCTCCCCCAAATGCCCCCTTCCTATACAGTGACAGCAACCAGAAGACTGGGTCTTCCCTGGGCGCATGGGGATGCAACCTTAGCAGTGGGAGGCATTAGAGGGAGCCCAGGTAGGTGGGAGACAGGGAGGTGGAGGGATCTCCCCAGCCTCCTCCGGAGGCAGGAGGGAGGACAAGGCGGCTGGCTCACCAATCCTGCTTTGGCTGCAAGAATTCAGCCGCTTTCGGCCCTGTGGGCCAACCAGGGGCCCTGTTCTGAAGGTCCCCATCCCCCAGGGGGCCCCAAGGAAACCCAGACCTGGAACAGAGCCTGGGTGCTCGGTTGTGGCCTGGCGGGCCTTGGAGAGAGCGAGGAGACCAGGGTCCTGCTCACGTGGACGCACGGAGGAGTTAAGGGAGGAAGCTCTGCAAGGTGAGGTCGTCCCCATCTCTGCCCTCCCTGGGCTCCACCTTTAGACCCTGGCTCTTGGCATTGGTCAGGCCCCCATTGGCCGTGGCCGTGGGCACTTCGCCCCCCTCGGGCAGCAGGGATGAGATGCAGACCATCTCGGTGGGGGAATAATTGCGCACTGGGTACATGTGATTCTTGCGGGAGAGGCGGACGGCCAGCACCACTGTGCACACGAGGAAGGTCGTGGCTACCAAGGCCAGGATGAGGATGGCCAGCAAACACTGCTTCACGGGGATGTGGTCCGGGGCCCCTGCAGGGATGGGGGCCACAGAGCTCTGTGGGGACAGATGCTGCCTATTTTCCCATCGTTTGGTGAGGACATCAAGCAAATTGCCTCCTGTCACAGTGGTGCTGTTTTGAGGATCAGAGGTCACAAGAAGGACTGTGGTTAGGTGCCCTATGGTGGCAGGTCCTGTGGACGGGAACTTCGTGGTGGCTGGATCTGTGGACGGGGCCTCTGTGCCAGTGGGCTCCGTGGACAGGGCATCCGTGGCTTCTGGCCCCGTGGACAGGGTCTCCATGACAGTAGACTCCATGGACAGGGCCTCTGTGGCAGTGGGCTCCGTGGACAGGGCGTCCGTGGCTTCTGGCCCCGTGGACAGGGTCTCCATGACAGTAGACTCCATGGACAGGAGTCTATGGGTCACAGGTTGCGTGGTCGGTGCCTCTGTGGCTGCTGGGTCTGTGGACGGGGCCTCAGTGGTGGCCAGCTCTGTGGATGGAGCTCCCTCTGTGGATGGAGACTCTGTGATGGGAGGTAATGTAGTGGCTGGTTCTTTGGTCAGCACGTCCGGTGTGACAGGAATCACCTGTGTGGTCACTTCCATGCTCAGAGTCCCCAGGGCCACCCCTCCTGTGTTCAGGCCAGCAGAGTCCCGTGTGGCCGCCTCCAGAGTAGCTGGCTCAGGAGTTCCATGCCCCAGTGTTGCCAACTGAGCCAGAATGTTAGGGGTCAGGGCCAAAGACCCAGGTTCATGTGTAAGCATTTCTGGAGGCTCTGTGCCTTCTATGACATAGTCATACAAGTCCACTTCTTGGTCCTCATCCACTTGTCTCTGGACCCGGGAAAGAGGGGCGTCTGAGGCCTCCTGGGCTCCATCCTTCTCTAGCTCCCACAGCTGGAGGCCGCTGCCAGGACCCAGCAAAATCAAAAGCAGGAGGACTTGCAGAGGCATGGCACCTGGCGGGAGACACAGACAAAAGGACGTGAGGACAGCTTCACCACTGGGCCTGCCAAGCGCCCTCTACTGCAATCATGTGGACAGCGACAGCCAGGGGGCCAGGCACTTAGTGTTTAAGCATCCTCATGACCCAGGGCGTGCCTGGTACACGGGAGCAGCCCAGCGAATTGCAGCTATTATTATTTATCAACATCAATAGATCCATCCAGAGGGCCCCGCAACTCTCCTTATATGGTGCAAAGAAATTGTATTTGCCTCCCTACCCTTTGTGATTAAAACTTCAAAATTGTGGGCAAGACAGTCCACTGGGGTATAGAAAAAAAAAAAACTATTAGAGCTTCTAGGTAGACTGTTATGTCAGCCTTTTGTGATTTCTAGTTTTGTCACACATTTATAATCTATCATGAGCCCAGGAGTACCTGCTTACAATTCACAGATAGATCAATGTACATATATTGTCTGCTGATGGCGTCCATGAGCCAAAGAGTCTGGAGACCACAGGTCTCCAGATAAAGCTGCTTGTTTGGGCCTTTGGGGCCTTTTGGAGTCTGTTCCTGACCCATCTCTCCATGTCCCTCTCCCCTACTTTCCTTCGTCTTGGCTCCCACCGTACACAGCGCTGGCCTGTCCCTCAGGTTCTCAGTTTTCCCCATCCTCTCTCGGTGTCCCGGCTTGGTTTTGTCCTCACTTCCACAACTGGGATGACAGTACCTACCTCATAGCTTACTGTGAGGTTGAAACAGGCAATGCCTATGAAGCCCTTAGCACTTTGTCCCCATCACCAGCTCCAGCAAAGGGCGGCTACTTGGGCTCCATCAGTAAGTGTCTCCTGTAAGTCCTCAAGGGCCCAGAGCCATCAACTGTACTCTGTCCTATCTGAAAACTCCCAACTCTTCAGAATGGTCCTGCCCTCGGGGAGCTGACAGTCATCTCACTTGCCTGGGGGCCCATTCTCCTGTGACCCTTCAGCCCCCTGACCAGCAGCCAGAAAGGGCAGTTCCTCTCCTTGGTCTTTCTTCCTGGCATGGTGGACATCCATGCTTTCTTGACGGATCTCCCTCCCCTCACGGCCCCCCTGCCACTGGTGGGTTGTTTGCGGGATTCAGAATCGTGCACCCTCTGAGGATCCTGTGGGGAGTGACAGCTGTGTTCTGGGCCAGGATTCAGGTATTCCTGGTTTTCTCGGACATAATACCCTCAGCAGGGCGCAATCCCAAGCACCGTGTCTGGGGCAGAGCCTGGGTCATTTCCAAAACTTTTCCTCATACCTCGCAAAATTTTGAGCAGAGACCAGTTGCTCATCCTTCCTTGAGTGACTGTAACTTACTCATAAGCCCCTTAGCTTCTAGGCTCAACCTGACCTCCTTCACCTGTTCGTTCATGTTGGTTTCTAAAATGGCGGTCTGATCCTGTCTTAAAATAATTTCTTAAACCAAACTTCATGATATTTGCATCAGACACATCAGGCCTTCACAACTGTCTTCATTTTACTAAGGAGGGGTAAGGCTCTGACAGGTAAAGCAACTTGCCCAAAGGCACACACCTGACAAGTGGCAGAGATCAGATTGCAGCCCAGTGAAGATTCAGGAAGGCTGTGGGAAGAAACCTGACCTAGCTAAGGGGGCAGAAGGAGCAAAGACTTGGAGGAGACCTTAGCTTGCTGTTTCTGTGGCAGGGGTTGGGGACCCAGTTGAGAGAAGGAAGGCAAAATAAGAATAAGAAGGACCTTGGGGCGCCTGGGTAGCTCAGTCAGTTAAGCATCCGACTCTTGATTTCAGCTCAGGTCATGATCTCAGGGTCATGGGATCGAACTCCCCGTAAGCTCAGTGCTCAGCATGGAGTCTGCTTGAGATTCTCTCTCCCCCTCTTGCCTCAATAAACAAATTAATCTTAAAAAAAAGAAGGACCTTGCGGGCCATCTCATCCAGAAAGTTCAGCCCTATATGTACCAGGTGCTATGCAGCGCACAGGATTGAGAACACAGACTATGGGGTCAGACAAAAAGATGTTCAGGTCCCACTCTGTCCCTTATAAGCTGTATGACCTTGAACTTCTGAGCCTCAGTTTTCTCATCTGTAAAATGGTGATACCAATCTGCATCTATCCCATTGAGCTGTTAAGGGAATGCAGCAAGATGATGGACTCAAAAGTTCCAGGCTCGCAGTAGGTGCTTAATGAACATCTCTCTCTCACACACACATGTGCCTAGCCACATCCTTTGCCTCCTAACCTGCCTTTAGGAGGCAGAGCGTCTTTGTACAGGGGGAAAGTTCCTGCTTGGGGGTGATCTTGGCCTTGCTTTCCCGGGGTGGATGGGGCAGGGTGGACTTTAGGATCCGTATTTCAAAATTACGAAGACTTGTACCCACCCCCCACCCCCCACCCCCACTTGGGCAGTTCTCAGTTCCTGGAAGGCAGAGCCCTCAGCCACTTCCTGGAAGCAGAGAGGGTGGGGGCAAGAAAAGGCCCCACCCGCAGGTTCCTGGGGGGAGGAGGCACCTTGATGAGTCAGGACCTGATTTTCTGCAGCCCAGAGGCAGGGAGGAAGGCATGGAAGGGACGGCTGCCCTCTCCCCATGCCCTTCCCCACCGCCCCCTGCATGTGGAGGCAGCTTGGAGGAGAGACCACTCTGCAGCTATGTAACCTGAGCGGGTTGCCTCAGTTTCCCTATCTGTAAAATGGGTGACGTTGCTTCAGAGGAGAATGGAGCTGAGAATCAAATAGCGTGCTGCAGGGAAGGTCCCTGATATCTGGCATCCAGCAGGGATGTTTTACTGGGGGGAGCCTCTTCGGGGCCGTGGACACAGATGTAGAGGAAAGAGAAAGCTGAGTCAGGGAACGTATGTATGGACGTGACAGGCTCCCTACCCCCCCCCGGGGGGCAGTGAGGGACACTGTGGGGTCCTGAGTGAGAGCAGAGACCCCCGTGGGTGTGGAGACAGGGCACATCGGGGCAGCCCATCTCCCAGCCCAGGTCTATTTAGGGTGACCACCTCGTCCAGGGTGTTCCCACTTGTAGTACTCAAAATCTCTCATCCCCTTCTGCCTCAGTCCCAGACAAGCTGGGCTGGCTGGTCACCCCAGCCTGGTGCCTGCCACCCCACGGGCTTCAAGGGAGAAGGACCACAGAGACCCCAGCCATGAGCCAGGCTGTTTGGCCGGAGGAAAATCCGGCTCCCGGGCGTTCTGTGGCTCTGAGGGGGCCGTGCAGGCGGCAAGGGCAGGGCTGGAGTGTGAGCGCTGTGGCTGGCAGGTGGGATGCTGACTTTACTATTTGCTAAGAGAAATGTATTGTAATGCAATGAGCACGGCGTATCAGAAGGCCCCCACTGCGGCTGGACCATTCCACACCGGCACCAGCTACTACAATCCCCATTATACAGATGAGGACAGCAAGGCTCAGAAGAGTGAAGGCAATTCCTCAGAGCCGTGAAGCGCCCCCCGCCCCGCCCCTTACACCTTTCTTCCCCCAGAGGCAGGAAAACGGTCACTTACCACAGGAGAGGGGCCGTGAGGGAGGGGCAGAGAGCTGCCACGTCCTGTCTTCCTGCTTGCCTAACGGAGTGGGTCAGATACAGCCTGTTTCCTGTCTTTTACCCTAAAACCAGGTTGCTCCACCGGGGCCCCACCCAGGCTGTGGAGGGGCAGACCACTGGCGGGGGCCCACACCCTGCTCCAGGCATGGCTGCGTGTGGCCACCCTGCTTGTGAAAGGCACCGTGGCAACTCCAAGAAGCTTGGGACTTGACAGTCAGAACCTTGGATCCTGGGAATCTCAGCACTCAGGAGTTTGGAAGCTTAAGACAGGAAAGACTGAGCATCTCAGGGTGTGGGTTGAGCAGCCGGCCAAGAGAAGGGGAGGCTCCAAACCAACGGTAGGTCAAACCGAGGCCCAGGTTTCCTCTGCCGGGCCCCAGGGCAGTTCTCAGTCCTGGTGGCCAGGACAGGCCCTGGCCCTACACGGGATCAGGTCCAGCATCAAACCAGATCGATGCCCAGCTCTGGCATGCATAAGCTGTGTGACCTTGGGCACCTGAACTCACCTCTCTGAGCCACAGGTCCCACATTTGGAGTAAAAGGACAATGATAGCACATACACCTCGTGGGGTTGTTGTGGGTTGAAGGGAGCTGGTTCAGGTTGAGTGTTTAGCACACAGTAAGTGCTCAATAATGGCCAGCTGTTGTCTCTGTCATTCTGCATTCAGGGCCATATCCTGGAAAAATCCCCAACCCCGGAACAGCTTTCACGTACCTCTGAGTCAGAGAGGGCCGGGAGAGAGAGCCCTAGAAAACTGTCTCCATGGCAAGCCCCGGGACAGCCCGGCTTGCAAATCACAGGTATCAAGTGTAGACCATGTTCCAGGACTGATCTAAGAGCCATACATGAATCGCTAGCTCACTCAGGCCCTAGCACCTCCTCTACTAACCACATGTGAAAGATGGGGAAACTGAGACCCACTTGGCACCTAGAGTCACATACCCAGTAAGAGAGGGCTCAGCAACTTGCCCCTGGGTGTTCTCACTCCAGATCCAACTCACAGTCACAGCCTCCTATCATCCATTCTCCGGAGCTGAGCAAATGGCACCTCCTCCAAGAAGCCATCCTGGATTGCTCAGGCATGATTAGTCATTCCCATTATGTAAACCGTTTAAAATGTTTCCACTGTCTAAAACTCCTTTCCCATTGGCCCACACGCTTCAAGAGGACAGGAACCACAGCTATCTTGCTGCCTACACCCCTTGCCCAGGGCTTATCAGACAGGCAGGCACTTAGCAGGCTTTGTGACATTGGCCCAGTGGGGCCTGGGCACGGTGGCTGCCCCACCAGAGCCTCCACCAGGCTGCAAGCTTCTGCAGGGCAGAGTCTCCACGGGTCCCCAGTACCGACAGGCCTGGCCTCCTGGGGGCTCATGAAAGGCCCGTTGCAGGAGGGGACTCGTGAATGGGACAGAAGCAACCAGCACTCGGGTTCTTGCTCTGGGCTCGCCATCCTGCCCTTCCCGACCTTTTCTCATCATCGCCCCTGGCCCCCATCAAGGAGCCCTTCACCTAATTACCACCCGTCCCTGTAAACTGCGATACCGTGGATGCACCTGTTTACTGTCCCATAGCCCTTTGCAGGAACACAAGCCCCAGTGATGGCTAAGATTTTTTCTGCCCCCTGCCCCCACCAAACAAACAAACACACAAAAACAACAAACCAAAAACAAAACAACTTTCACCTTCTGGACCCTGAATTTGCTAGCCTGGTACAGAGGAGGCAAAATATTTTGCACAAATGAATTTAAAGAGACCTACACCTGGTTTTGGTTTAACAACTGCGGACTATCTGAAGAGTTGTCTGTGTAGACAGGCAGATGGACCAGCACACAGACGCACAGACAGCCATCCTATCACCTTCTAGCCTGGGCCCCATGTCCCCCCACCATCCCCTTGCTCAAGCTTAGCAAAGGAGACTGAGAGACCACGGCTGGGGTCACCCCGGGCTCCACGAGGTTCCTGCAGCCAGATGAGGGCCGGGGAAGCAAGTCCAAGGGCCAGCCACCTCCCAGCCAGGCCACGACGGGCAGCTGCTTCTCACCTCTGGGCCTCGATTTTCTCATCTGCACAAGGAGGGCACAGCATTCCTGGGTGATTCCCCAGCCCCTTGGAAGGCCCTGCCCCTGCCTGGCTGAGCTTTCCAGGAGGCGCTCAGCCTGGTAGCCTGCCCCTTCCGCCATCCGGGCTTTAGTCTCCGCTGGCCGCTGGCCAAGCCTGGTGACGGAGGGCTCTACCATTTTGGGTGTGTCCAGGCCAGCCCCAGAGGAAGCCGCTGAGGGGCCTGGGGCCAGGAGAGTGACCCCTTGAGCTTCCTGCCCACCCAGAGGCCTGGTCTCGGGGGGCTCGAAGTCACAGATGGGAAAAGAAGAAAACAAGAGGATCCGGGAAGGAGGAAGAGAATTCCAGGCGACCGGAGTCCTGATCATTGTTTATGGGTGTGCGTGTGTGCGTGTGTGCGCGCGTGTGCATGTGTCAGAGGTCACTGCCTTAGGTACCATCCCCCACCCACCATCCTCATTCTCTTTTATGCCCCTAAACCACCCCAAATACAAATTACCAAGAGTATTCTAATTATGATGATTATTTTCTCTTTGGCGAGCAATATTAGTTAGCATTCTAATTCTAGTATTTTCATAATTTGCTACAGACCAGTGTTATTTTCCCAACTTTATGAAAAGCATGAAAAACATCACTTTGGAGACAATATTGTTATGGATCCCTAGCCTGAGTGGCTTCAAGACACATCCTGCACCCGCTCTCCCTTTCTGGGATCACCCAGATCTAACCCCAGCTCTGCTCTGAGCAAGTCCCTTCACCTCCCTGTGCCTCGCGCGAAAAGAGAGGCAGCATGATTTTTAGGGATATGTTCCTGGTTTCTCTGATTTTTTTCAAAGTTAGAGCCCCTCCCCTTTCTTCAAGCCAGCAGCCTGGTGGCCAGCCTGATGGGGAGGGTAGGATGGAAGAAGCTGAGGGAGCAGGATCCAGAAGAGAGAGCCGAATAAGGCCACGACCTCGATCCGCAGCCCCCGGGGCTCTGGTTTGGAGCTCAGGTCCTGCCCCGGGCCTGCCCTCTGCTGTCAGGCGGGCCTGCTGGTCCCAGGGGCCTCCCAGCCACTCCCCACGGTTTGGCAAGTGGACACTTACCGTGCTCAGTAGAGCATGCGATAGCTGCCTTGTGGGCCCGGGAGAAGTGGCTCCTCTCCCTTAGCGACCGGAACGGGGCCCACACTGCCAGAGCACTGCTGTGGCACCCCAGCCGTGGTCCCGGACCCCGCCAACCCTCAACGGCCTGTGTAAAAGAAGGAAGCGAGAATGTGGTTATTCAGACGTGGCCACGTGACAGCCCACACCCCCTTGTTTGTGACAGCTTTGGTGGCAGTGTGGATTGAGACGGGGTGGGTAGTGGGAGACCGGGACCTGCTGAGCCCTCCTGGGTTCTGGTAACCATGCACCAAAAACCACATGCAAACTTTCTGGGAAGGGCTGGTTGAGAGGCACGACCCCACGGTGATGGGAAATAGGGGTGAGGGGGACCCCACCCTGAAAGGAAGGGAGGGACCAGAGGCATATAAGGATGGTTCTAGATCCTTGTCCAAGTTGGGAATCAGGGTGGGAGAAGCCACGGAACACAGACTTTCCTGAGGTTTGCAAATATGATGCAGCCATTCTTTCAGGACCCATCTCTAGGTGCACAGGTGATCCTTTTAGCCACGAGCAGTAAGTGCTCTGAGGAGCTGCATGGCAAATCCCACCGGGGCAAGACCTGCTTATTTTACTTCCCCATCCTGACTCGTTCGTTTCGCCCCCCCCCCCCGGCACCCCAGGCCGGGGGCTCTGAGGTCCAAAATGCAAGCAATTCCAGGCTCTGGTCCTTCCGTAGCTCTTCATCTAGTGGGGAAGCCAGCAGATGAACAAGTGAACAGACCATTACACACAGGGATGTCACCCTGTGGTGAGCTAGGGAGGGGCCCCTACCCCACCCTGGGCAGGAGAGGGGCTTGTCAGGAGACTCTTCCAAGAAGTGGCACAGAGGATGACAAAGGTGGGCTGGGTGAATAGCCCAGGAGAAAAGTAAAGGCATCCCAGGCACAGGGCACAGCATGGCCAAAGGCCCGGAGACATAAGAAAGCCCAGAACTCTCAAGATAGTGAAGGAAAGCGACATCTCTCAGGGTCTGGCCTGTGGCTCCGTACAAGATGGGGTGTGAGACATAGGCAGACAGGGGTTCATACACTGCCTTACACACAGGTTGTTTTAAAATGATAACAGGAGGCCCAGTGGGTGTTCACCATGACAGAACCTCCATTCCAAGGGCACCTGGGTGGCTCAGTCAGTTAAGCATCTGCCTGCAGCTCAGGTCATGATCCCAGGGTCGAGCCCCGCATCAGGATCCCTGCTCAGTGGGGAGTCTGCCTCTCCCTTTCCCTCTCCCTCTGCCCCTCCACCCAACTTGTGCTCTCTCTCTCCCTCTCTCAAATAAATAGATGAACACAATCCTAGAGAAAAAAAAAAGAACCTCTTCTGGAAGCGGCCAAAAACTCCCCCAGTCTGTATAGAGACAGGAACACTGAGACTCCAAAAGGGTGAGAATGTTAGAACTTACCACTCTCCCCCAGCAGGTTTGGAAATAGCCAGCCCTCAGGAGCAGGGGTTGAGAAACTGAACAGACCCATGCCGGGGCTGGAGACCACTCTCAGGTGATAGGCATTCCAGATAGATGTTTTAGCCTGAGTCCACAAGTACATTGGAGACAGGACAGTCCCTCTGCTAGGGACTGCCTTGGGCCCCCACCCCTCACCCCCCAACCCAGCTCATCCTGAACCAGAGCCCATCACCAGATCCACAGTTCTGAAACCAATGTTGAGGTCCTAAAGATACAGCGGACAAGGGAGGGTGACCTACCTTCCCAGTCTGCCTGGGACTGAAGGGGCTCTGGGGATGCAGAAACTTTCAGGCTTAAAACTGGGTAAGTCCCTGGCAAACCAAAATGACTTGGCCTTTCCAGGCCATGGGGCCAGGGGGAGCTGGTCATTTGCTAAATTCTGAATGGGGTGGCATCGGAGGCTGTTACCCGACCTACAGCACTGGGGTGGGAGAATTGAGGGGGTTCCGGAGCAAGCAGATGCAGAGCCCCACATCCCCCAGATACATCCCTTCCTCCCTGTCCCAGGTGCAGCCACAAGCTGCTTCTCAGGAGCGTCGGGCACAACGTGGGGTAAAGGAAACCATACCGCAGACCCTCCCCTGATCCTTTATGACATCTGTGAGCTTTGAAAACCATCCAGGAGCAGGGCCCTACAGGGGACAACACTCAAGGCCAGGGGGCTGATAACTGGCCTCCTATGACCTTGGAAAATTCTCTTCTCTCGAGCCTCTGCTTCCTCCCCTACAAAAGCTTCGTAATACAAATGCTTAATGTTTCCTTGGCCTCTGCCACACGCCAGACGCTGTGCGTCGTATCAGCTCATATAACACTCAGAGCAGTCTTTTGGGGAAACTGAGGCTCAAAGCGAGGCTGTGCCTTGCTCAAGGTTACACACAGAGTAGGGGGCAGAGCCAGGTCCAGGCAGCCGGAAAAGAAGCCCCCTATCTCACCCCCTGGCCTGCGATGGTGCTGGCTCAGTACCTGCATGCAGTGAGTCTTCCCTGCACGCCAGCAAGCCCTCTGTGAAAGGGAAGGGAATAACTCAGGGGCAGGTGAGAGATTTCAAGCTAAGACTTGAGCAGCTGAAGGTGCCTTGCAGAGGAGCAAATATCACTATGAGGATTCCGGCTCGTGTCGTCTGTTCGAAGACCAGAAAAACCGCATCTCATGACCCCTACCACCTGTGAGAGTCAAGCATTCAAAGCGAGCGAGTTTCCACTTCTATAGGCGGAGCCCAAAAAAGTGCTCCCAGGATGCCTTCAGAAACCCTGGAAAAAACATACAAGTCCCATCCTAATGGAAACCTGCCCCTCAGAACGTGTTCCGGGCATGAAAGTCGCATGCACGCTGAATGCGTCCAGAGCATTCACGCCTCATCAGTGGAAAAACAGGTGTAAAGATGTATAAACAGGGTACTTTCAGCTGCGGGTGGGTGCTCGGAGGAGGTACCGGAGGAAATGCTCACAGCGCTCATCTCTGGGTGGCCAAGGATGGGCGGCCCTTCTCTTTCCCATACATCTTCCTGCCCTGTATTTTTAGATAGAAAAATGGAAATAACGACGTGAATGTCAGCTCTACTATCAGGAAACAGAGATTTTAAGCAGTGCAAGGCCTTGATAGACACCTTAGATTTCAGGATGACTTGACATTTACCCCCTCTGTCTGTCTCCACCCTCCTGGGGTGTTTGGGGGAACGGTCCCTCCCACGCCCCAGCCCTGTGTTTCTCGGGGCTTCCAGCTGTGGCTTCCCAAGGCCCTTTGGCCACAGCAACGGGGCCCGTCACATCACTTCCTCAAATGTTCCTCAGTCTGACTCTGGACGATTCCCTGGAGGGGTTCAGGGACCTACTCAGACATCATAGACTAACCGCCCTCCCCCACCCCGAGGGCGACTCCTTCCCTAGAACAGGATCAAGGAGCTTTTTCTGTTAAGGGCTAGCGACCGCATCTTTTCAGCTTTGTGGATCTGTCCCAAATATCCAACGCCGTGGTGATAACATGGAAACAGCTATAGTCCATATGTAATAAATGGGTATGGTTGTGAGCTAATAACATTTTCTCTGCAAAAAATAGGCGGAGGGCCAGATTTGTCCTACAGGCTGCAGTTTACTGGCTCCTGACCTAGGAAAATGAGAGACATTGGCTATGGGGAGAACCAAACTGGAAGAAGTGAATGGGTCCCCGCGAATGGGCAGAATGAAACACGGGTCCCCTTAAGACTAGGCCGCTGGCTTTCTTAGGGCAGGACACATTTATTGAGCCCTGAGTGCCAGGCACCGGGATGAGCCGCACACAAGACACATACAGTCCTTGCCCTCTGGGGGCCTCCAGATTAGTGGCCCGGTCAAAAGCCACCATGCAGGGCCACTGAATGTAGCCAGGTGGAAAAACAGGGTTCTGAGAATGAGAATTGAATCCTTGCCTCAAGCCTGCTGTGTGGCTTTAGGGAATTCACTTGACCTCTCTGAGACTGTCTCATCTGGAAAATCGTTTTGCACGAATGCTTAGTGCAAAACAATGCAAGGAATAATAAAAGTCTAAGAGCAGATTGGGCTGCAGATGTAGGCAGAGCCCAATCGCCTCACCTCTGACTCCCGGAGTCCATCTATCCTAAAACTTGAGAGTAGAACCCACTATGGGTCTCAGGCCCCTTGCTTTCAATGTATAATCCTTGCTCCAAGGGCAGGAACTCTCTCCCTATGTAGGATTCAGTGGCTCCCCATTGCTTTTGTTTTATTTTTTAAAGATTTTATTTATTTATTTGAGAGAGAGAGAGAGAGAATGAGCAGTGGGGAGGGGCAGAAGGGAGAGAGGGAGAAGAGAGAGAGAGAAGCAGACTCCCTGCTGAGCAGGAAGTTCAACGTGGGGCCCCGATCCCAGGACCCAGAGATCACGACCTGGGCCCATGATAGATGCTCAACCGACCCAGGCGCCCCTCCCCATGGCTTTTAGAATAAAGACTCAAATCCCTGACATGGTGGCCAATGCCTTGATCCCTCTTCCCCTCCAGCTTCATCTCACTCACATGCCCCCTTGTTCTCTGCTCCAGTGCCTTCTTTTAGCTCCTCTTATGTTTCCTCCTGACACAGGACCTTTGCATGTACATTCCTTCTGCCTGGAGCATTCCTTACTGCTCATCACCTGAGTAACTCCTGCTCACAATTTAGACCCAGTTCACATGCCATCTCCTTGGGAAAAGCCTTTCCTGACCCCCGACCCTACTCCGGGATCTCAGAACACTGCACCCCTCTCCAACATGCATGCCATTCCTTGATACTTCTCTCTCTCCCTGGAAGCTCCAGAAGAAACCCATGTCTGTTTTGCCCACCATTGCATCTCCTGGGCCAAGCATAGTGCCTGGCATATATGAATAACAATGGCTAATTATCAGGTGCTTCTTCATGCCAGGCACTGTCCTAGGCTCTTGACACATTTGTTTGTCACAATTAAACAAATTGGTAATTTAATTTGTCACAGTTGCCTCATGAGGTATTAATAGTATTCCTATTTTTGGATGGAAAAAAACCAAGACCAGAGAGGTTGAGTAACTTGCCTGAAGTCACACAGCTAGTAAGTGGGAGAGCCAGGGTTTAAACCCAAGCTCTCTGATTATGGAGCCTAAATTCAATCACAGTAGATGTTTGCTGAATAAATCTACAAACCG